TTTTAGTTTGTGCAAGGTAATAACTATAGATTTTTGACATATCTTCTACTTTTCTAAATTCAAATTATGCCTTCTTGTATTATATAACCAACCTAAATTTGAAAATTTTCGCTCGCAGCCAGCACTATGTGGAACAACAGAAAAAAGTTTTATTGCAAGTTCTTATAATTATTATAATTTTTAGAATTGTTTATAATATCTCCTTTTCGTCACATTTCCCCTTTTCGTCACATTTTCCTCTTTTCGTCGCATTTTCCTCTTTTCGTCACATTTCGTCAATTTACCACATTTTATCATTTCGCCAAATGTGACGAAATTAACAATGATTTGACGAAATAATTTCCCGCCTACAAAAACATTTCGTCAGGTATTATTATATTGACGTTGATGAGAACATATTTGATGAAGGACAAATATACGTTACAATGAGTCGTTAAAAAACTTGCATATTCTCGGTTTTGGCCATGCTCAATTAAAGGTCTCTAAAGCAGCGTTAGAAGAATATAAAAGATTAGGAAAATTTAATACTGAAGTGAAGGGTTGCAAATTTGATAAGGCGGTAAAAATTTATTATATGGAACAAATCAATCTGTAAAATTTTTTTTTAAAAAAAAAAAGAGAATTGCTATTTCTCACCAGTGGTGATTTTCACCACCTAAGGAATCAAATTTGCGTGTGGTGGAGTTAGGGTTGGGGGTTAATCATAAATTGTATAATTCCTTAGGTGGTGACAATCACCACCGGCGAGAAATAGCAATTCCCAAAAAAAAAAATGTTTAACAAGCAATTTAATATTAATATTAATATTAATATTTAGTTAATTGGCGTTTACTACTCCTTCTCCTGCGAAGAAAAACAATCCGTCGTTTTGTTCTGTTTTTGTTTTATTATTATTGCTTTGTTTATTATAAATTCGTGCAAGTGCCACCGCTCACTCATTGCGACGTTTAACTTAAAATCTTGTTTCATATACAAATTAATTAGACTATCAGTATATAAGGAATGGATTTTCATTGATTTATACAGTTTAAAATACTTTTGCAAGGGTATCATGTAGCCCATTCTTGCAATAAATCATGTGTAAATAATTACAC